AAACAGAATCCAAGAACACATCAGAAATATCATCCACTATGATCAAGTCAGATTCATCCCACAGATGCTGGGATGGTTCAACATATGAAAATCTGTCAATGTAATTCACCATATAAACAAACTGAAAAATAAAAACCACATGATCATCTAATTAGGTGCTGAAAAAGCCTTTGACAGAATTCAAAACTGCTTCATGATAGAGGTCCTGGAGAGAGCAGAGATACAAGGAATACACCTAAGCATAAAAAAGGCAATATTCAGCAAGACAACAGCCAACATAAAATTAAATGGACAGAAACTCACAGCAATCCCATTGAAATCAGAAACATGACAAGGTTGTGCACTCTCTGTATATCTATTCAATAAAGCTCTTGAAGTTCTAGCTAAAGCAATACGACAACAAAAGGAGATCAAAGAAATACAAATTGGAAAAAAAGATATCAAACTCTATTTGCTGATGATATGATAGTTTTCATAAGCGACCCCAAAAATTCTACCAAGGAACTTCAGCAACCCTTAAACACTTTTAGTAATGTAGCAGGATACAAAATTAACTCAAAAAAAATCAGTAGCCCACCTTTACAGAGATGAGCAATGGGCTGAGAAAGAAATCAGAGACACATTACCCTTCACAATAGCTACAAATAGCATAAAATATCTCAGAGTAACTCTAAACAAACAAGTGGAAGACCTGTATGACAAGAACTTTAAATCTTTAAAGAAAGAAATTAAAGAGGACCTCAGAAAATTAAAGAGCTCCCATGTTCTGTGGTGGGTAGAATTAACATAGTAAAAATGGCAATCTTACCAAAAAACTCTACAGATTCAAAGCAATGTCCAGTAAAATTCTTCAAAGACCTCAAAAGAACAGTATTCAACTTCATATGGAAGAGTAAAAAACTCAAGATTGCCAAAACAATCCTGTACAACAAGGAACTTCAGGAAGCATCACAATCCCTGACTTCAAACTCTACTACAGAGCTACAGTACTGAAAACAGCCTGGTACTGGCATAAAAACAGACAGGAGGACCAATGGAACCAAACTGAAGACCAAGATATTAATCCACATACCTATGAACACCTGATTTTTGATAAAGAAGCAAAAAATATAAAATAGGAAAAATAAAGCATATTTGACAAATGGTGCTGGCATAACTGGGTATCAATATGTAGAAGAATAAAAAATAGACCCAAATCTATCACCATGCACAAAACTCAAGTCCAAATGCATCAAAGACCTCAACATAAAGCCAACTACACTGAACCTCATAGAAGAGAAAGTGGGAAGTACACTTGAACGCATTGGCACAGGAGACCACTTCCTAAATATAACCCCAGCAGCACAGACACTGAGAAAAACAATTAATAAATGGGATCTTCTGAAACTGAGAAGCTTCTGTAAAGCAAAGGACACAGTCAACAAGACAAAATGACAGTCTACAGAATGGGAAAAGTTCTGCACTAATCCCATATCAGAGAGAGGTCTGACCTCCAAAATATACAAAGAACTCAAGAAATTGTTCATCAAAAGAACAAATAATCCAATAAAAAAATGGGGTACAGACCTAAACAGAGAACTCTCAACAGAAGAATCTAAAATGGCTAAAAGATAATTAAGGAAATGCTCAACACACTAGCCATCAGAAAAATGCAAATCCAAACAACTCTGAGATTCCATCTTACACCTATAAGAATGGCCAAGATCAACAGCACTGATGACAACTTATGCTGGAGAGGATGTGAGGTAAAGGGATCACTTCTGTATTGCTGGTGGGAATGCAAGCTGGTACAGCCCTTTTGGATGTCAGTGTGGCAATTTCTCAGAAAATTAAGAAACAACCTTTCTCAAGAACTAGCAATACCACTTTTGGGTATATACCCAAAGGATGCTCAATCATATCTCAAGGACATGTTCTCAACTTATGTTCATAGCAGCATTGTTTGTCATTGCCAGAATCTAGCAACAACCTAAATGCCCCTCAACTGAAGAATGGATAAGGAAAATACAGTATGTTTGCAGAATGGAGTACTACACAGCAGAAAAAAATAATGACATCTTGAGATTTTCAGGCAAATGGATGGATGTAGAAAACATCATATTGAGTAGAGGTAACCCAGACCCAGAAAACAAATATTATATGTACTCACTCATAAATGGCTTTTAGACATAAAGCAAAGAAAATCAGCCTACAAATCACAATCCCAGAGAACCTAGATAATAATGAGGACCCTAAGAGAGATACACATGGCTCTAATAAACATGAGAAGTAGAAAAAGACAAGATCTCCTGAGTAAATTGGGAGCATGGGAATCATAGGAGAGGGTAGAAGGACAGGGAAGAGGAAGGGATGGGAGCTCAATAAAATCAATAAAAAAGAGGAAAAAATAGTGAATGCTTTAAAGAAACTTGTTTGACAAGTTTAAGAATAACAGCAAAGAACTCTATATATTAAACGTATTTAATAAAATTTGCATTTTGTCCAGTCAAAAAAAAAAGAATTATGGGTTAACTTAAGTTGTAAGAACTAGCTAATAATAAGCCTCAACTAATAGGCCAAAGTTTATAATTAATATAGGCCTCTGTGTGTTTCTGTGGTTCTGAACGGCTGTGGAACCAGTCAGGACAGCAATTTCCATCTATAATACTAAAATATTACCTGAAGTGTTACATATCAAGATAACTTTCAGTTGTTCTTTCAAGTAACATATGCATATATATGTGTATATATATACACATATACATACATATATATCAAATTGTCAACAACCATTAATATCAATGGTAGTTATATGAGTATTGATGATACTGTCAAGTTAACTTCTCTTTCAAAATATTCATGATAAGAAGTTGAAGGGGCTTCCAAAGAGGTAAGCAGCATACATGCTTCCATGGGACATGTGGGTCTCCTCAGTGTCCGTCCACAGGGTAGAAGTTGTCCCTATGCAGCAGGCACCAACATGAGACACCAAGAATCATCAGTAGAAGATTGACTGTCACCTTCTTAAACTTGCTGTTGATTCATGTCACACAGTTCAGGATCAGCAATGGAGGTGTATGTGGGGTGCTAGCCCCCTAAACCTCTCAGGATCCAGAAGGAACACTATAGCAAATGAAAACTGACTAAAGGGATCCGAGGGTAAAAGGAATACATCGGCTCACATAAGTGCTTCCGTCATATCCCATTTATTCTTCCAAAGTTCTCACTACATTTCCTCGATGCCGTTCAATGTCCAATCGGTCCCACAAGGTTTCCAGTTCATATACCCACACAAACACAATTAACCATTTTTTAGGCAGTAACAAGGATGCAGACATGCATTTCACAGGGCCAAAAATCAGAATCTGGTGACAAAGCAGGTGCCCCTTAGCTTGTTTATGTCTCAGATGAGGCAAGTCTGTGAAGTGCCTGGACTTATCCGAAGGGGGTAGAGAAAGGTAAGGGCTATGATTTCTTTCTTTTTTAAAATAGTTTAAATAATTTTAAATAATTTTAATGATTTATTTAACTTTTATTTTATATGCATTGGTGTGAGATTGTCTGATCCCCTGGAACAGGAGTTACAGTCAGTTGTGAGCTGCCATGTGTGTGTTGGAAATTGAACCTGGGTCCTCTGGAAAAGCAGTCAGTGCTCTTAACTAAGAGGGGAAAATGGAGTTTGCATGTTAACTACATTTGTGTGGTAAATTAAGCAAGACGTTTGTAATTGGTAACTGCAGAAAAAGAGGGAAGGAAAAACAGCAGTGCTGTTATTCACCCTGCATGATTTCCCTTGGTTCCCTGGGAACTTGAGGCTGTGGTAACCATGACAACCAACAGGAGCCACTAAGTAAACGTCTGGTGCTTGATTTGCATGGAAATTTTTGCTAGCTGAATGGAAGGGAAGCACTTTGCACTAGGTCAAAGTGAAAAGCTACTTCTGTGTAAATATCAGAGACTGCCACTTCCAGCCCCAGGCTAAGTGGTGCACTCACAGCCCCTGATGCCCTGGTGTGAAAAAATTCCTTTCTCTGGGGCTGGCTTAATGGTTCAAGCTTTTTTCCTGTATCTCTCGGGGCAAAGGCACAAACAGTTGATTTTCTAGACTAAAATTTTGTGTTAAATGAAACCTAGGTGAAGATAAGTACAAAATATTAATAGCTTGTTAGGGTAGAGTAAAGGCCAGTAGGCTGTGCTCTCCTGAGAATTCAGGGCCACCTGGTCCTGCTTATCAGTAAGGGAGACATGCTGTCTCTCCTACTAACTGCCTATCTTTTGAGGTTCTTCTGTGGTCTATTTGCAAGGCTCCTCTCCCTGCTGGACATCCTGCCATAAAGGTTAACTGTGGGGAGGCTTGCTTTTTGTAGATTTGAATATGAGAACAAAGGTTTCTTTGACTGAGTGAATACTTTCACACCGGGGTCCCACAGTGTGGGGGAAAAGTCATCCAGTTAGCAGGGCAGAAAACAATTATGCTCAATAACTGATTAATACACTGCCGAGTCTTTCAGAATGAAGGGGGAAATGCGATGGTTTCACAGGGGTTTTACAGAAATGACAGCGACTATTGAAAAGACAAGTATCCCGGAATACGCAAATCGGCATTTCTCACTGGAATACTCCCATGGTTAGCCTAGAGACCTGTGGACTGTACTTTTCACTGTACGGTCCTATGGACAACAGCAATCAGCTACCCACTAGAGGCCCTCATCAGCCTCACACCACCCATACCATCCCACACACTAGCCATTGGGTCCAAGGTCTTGGTAGTGCAGGTATTGAGAGACGTAAAAATGCTGTTAGAAGGGCACAAACTGCCAGAGGAAATATGAATAAGCACTGGAGGTCAAAGTGACAATAGGTAACAATGTCACCCTGTCTGTCTCAATTTGCTTAAGAAGATCTTAAATGTTCTAACACCATATGCATACACAAAACAGGCAACTGTGTTAGGTAACAGAGGGTGTTGTTAACCTGATGGTGGTAGTCATTGCCCAATGCACTTCCATGTAAACTCAAGATAGTGTAATGTAAGTATGCATGATTTATTTGTCAATTATATATCAGTAAATCCAAAGACAGAGGAGTCAATAGAGAGAGAGATGGGTAGAGGGACCACATCATGCAATTCTGTTGTCAAATAAGACTCTAGGAATCTAAGAATGGACAGAGAAGCTGAAGTGATTTCACATATGCACCCAGGGGATCCTGTATAGTCTCTGGCATGTAGGATATTCTCATTATATAAGAGTAATGAATGAATAAATGAATAAACAAGTATATTTGTGGATCAGTATTATCACATGTATTACTGTTGGCTGCCTACATAAAATTATGTGGACATCTCTTCCACAGAAGAACTTTCCAAGTGTCTTTGTAATAGTAGATAAAATGCAGCACCTCGTCCATGGAGAATTCTTGACTTATAAGTATATTTTCTTCATCTGACAAATTGATTTCTGTTCATGACTGCAAGGGATGTCATACCAGCCCCACCTAGAACGTGGATGAATTAATATAACACATTGTTCGTGGTCATTGTTGGGCTCTCCTGGGTGCCAGAACCTGCAAGGGAGGAAAGAACATCAGGTGTTTCCACAGTAATGCTGGGAAAGAGAAAGCAAGGGTAAGCAAGCCTGAGGATGAGGTTGGAATCTGTGGAAATCAGATTCTAGTGTGTACAAACTAACCGTTCCCCACCACCCGTATCTAAACTTTCTCTGGAAAACAGGGTCCGCTGCACTCAATATTCTCTCAGCTTGTGACTTAACTGTTCTCCCAGCACACATCCTAGAGGCTACTTCATCCCTAGGTCTTGGTACCCAGAGACTATCATTCCATGTGCCTATTTATGTCCTGAAAGGGTCTCACCTTATTCTCGTGTTTTAATAAAATTATTTTGTCATTTTACATCAGTCTTAATAAGAAACTGAAGAGTTAATTAAGATATCTAGATAATCTATTTATTTCTGTCAACTTAAAGAAATAATTTAAAATCCTGGATTCCTATTTTTCTTCTCTGAAATCTGACAATGACAATAACATCACTACCTATATCTCACAGAGAAATCTGATAGAATATGAGAATATACTAATACATTAGAGTTTTACATAAATATGTAAATATGACACAACAATATCAAATTGAGGGTTTTTGATACATGAGGAATAATCAGTTATGATATTAACATTAATTTTTATTATAAAGATATAAATGTGATGTGGGATTCTTGTCTGTGTGCTATGATTACCATTAATGAATAAAGAAAACTGCCTTGGCCTGTTGATAGGGCAGAACTTAGGTAGGTGAGGAAAACTAAAATGAATGTTGAGAAAAAGGAGGCAGAGTCAGAGATAAGCCATGTAGCCCCGCTGGGGAAAGATACTGGAAACTTTACCCAGTAAGCCACAGCCATGTGGTGATACACAGATTACTAGAAATGGGTTAAGTTGGCTAACACTTATATTAGCCAATAAGAAGGTAGAGCTAATGGGCCAAGCAGTGTTTTAATTAATACAATTTCTGTGTGATTATTTCAGGGTTGAGCAGCCAGGAACCAACAAACAGTCTCCTCCTATATTAATGAAAACTGGGAAGGTGGCTCAGACATTAAGAATGCTTGCTGTTTTCCCAGAACACATGAGAGTTCTGTTCCCAACATTCATATTGGCATGGTAATACCTCCTGTGACCCCAGCTGCAGGAGATTCAACGTCCTCTTATGAGCTCCATAGATACCCACATATACATGGTACATATTCACAGAGAGACACATTTATATACACAAATAAAAATAAAAACAAAACCCATTTTTAAGAAAATAGATGAGTGACTGAAAGGACAATAAACCCCCTATCTGTGAGCACCTGGTTGGGCACCCTGGGTACTTATCATCCTGCACTCTTCTAACTTAGTTCCTCATCTCTCCTGGAGTGTCAGCATCACGGGTCTCACAGGACTCCGGTGATGAGTAAACGGGGATAAAGGTAACTCTATCCCCAGCACCCACACCAGGACTGAGCTGTTGTAGTTTCATAACCAACAGCTGGAAACCCTAAAGTCTTCTCATGGCACAGGACCCAGGACTCCTCTGGGTAACTCTAGACTCACGTGGCGCTTTCATTGTATGGCGTCTGATCAACCCATTGCCACTGTCGATGTCCTGGATCTGAAAGCCCAATAAAATAAGCAGCATCACGTCTCAGGATCTTAGTGATGAAATCCTAAGAGGAAAGAAAGATAGAGCATTGAGCCCAAATTGCAGGCTTCTTTTTCTGCTACAGAATTTTTATAAGATCTTTTAAAAATTATTTCAACTATACAAAATTATAGATTCAATATGATATATGTATGCAAACATGCAATCATCAACTCTGAGTTCATCTCTCTAGGCCCTTAAATAGTTTTCAAATTTTAAATTAATACATAATAATTGTATACTTTAGAAGTACACTGTGAACTTTTTCTGGTCACACAGAGATAAGAAGACAAAAAAAGGTTCAAGGACTGGAAGAGCCCCCACCTCCAGGAATGCTACCTCCCCAGCTGACCAGGACACAAAGGCCTGATTTCCATGACACCAGAAACGATCTCTGTCCATGGTCATAATAAAGTCTTGTCTCAGACTTACTCCCCTCTTTTCTTCCCCAACACTATTCTTGAAGGTTGTGCATGAGAGGATTTTACAGATTTAATCATTCTCCATTCATAACTGCAGATATTTCATTTCTGATGGTTGGCTGTGATTCTCCTGATTGGATCCCCTTTCCCTAGTCAGCTCTGCACCCTCCTCTGTTAGGCGGCTGGTTCTACAGGAGGCCTTAGAGTGCTAAAATCACAAACTGATCTTTCAAACAGAAACATTACATCCTTCCCTCCACCTTCAGGCATGGCATTTCTGTTGCCAATGTTCCAATGTGTGGTGTAGGAGGTTCTTCTGTTTATGTGTTGCTTTCATTGGTTGAATAAAGAACTGCCTTGGCCTTTGATAGGGCAGCTTTCAGGTAAGCAAAGTAGACAGAACAGAATGCTGGGAAGAAGGGCAGTGTGGGAGATGCCATGAATCTCTGGCCTGAGACGAACGTAGGTTAGAATCTTGTCGGTAAGCCACAGTCACATGGTAATACACAGATTATTAGAAATGGGTTAATCAAGATGTGAAAGTTAGCCAATAAGAGGCTAGAGTTAATGGGCCAGGCAGTAATTTAATTAATACAATTTATGTGTGATTATTTCGGGTGTAACCTAGAAGGGTGGCCTGGACCAAAAGCAGGCCCTCTCTTCTTACTACACCTTTGGGCTGTATAGTTCATTGAATCAGGAGCAAAGTATAGAATGCTAAGACTGAAGCAACCTTTCTGGCTACCTGATGGCAAGCCTTCTGCCACAGCACCAACACCCATGTCAACAAAACTTCCTCTTAGTAAAAAGGGTAGACAACAGGCTGGGCCCAGGCCCCACTCGCTCCCAGCATGCACCTGCTCTTCCCGGCTGCGGGTCACCATCAGACGAGCACCCATGCTGGAGCACTTCTTCTGACTCTTGCTCCAAGATGCCGAGTCAGTGGAAATGAAGTAGCAGTGGGAACTAAATGGCTTCCAGTCCTTTGGGCAACAGCTCCAGACTTTGTCTTTGGGGAAGAGGGAGATGAAAGTACAATGTCATAAAGTCATTTAAAATCTGCTGTATATGGAGACCACATGGAAACTGGGACTTCCTGCATCTCCAGCTACAACAGGAGCCCCTCCTCTTCAGGTGCCAAGCAACCCCAGTCTCCATCCATAGACACTAAAGTCAGGGCCCCTTTGTCCTACTAAGATGCTGTTAGGATAACAATGTAAAACACACTCCAAACAGTCTGAGTCTCCAAACAATAGAACTCATCATATCAGGAGCCAGAAAGTTCTCATATTACAAAAATATATACATATTTATATAGAAAGACAATAGATGTCATTAATCAAAGCAGAAAAATTTCAGAGTTATCAGACTGCTGAGAGCCTGCAGTATAGACTCAGATCAGCATATGGCTACCTGTCTAATGAGTTTCTGCAGGGCAAGGCACCTGTGGAAATGGATTCTCACTTGGCAAGACCGGTAGTCCTTGGGACAGCATAGGAATTTGCAAAGTTCATGAAACTTTTGCTGTAGAAATTCCTACAGCTAGTAGCTTTTAAGTTACCCACCCATTTGGACGTGGCCTCATATATATATATATATATATATATATATATATATATATATCAATGTAAAGCGTGTGGTTGCCCTCTCTTCCAACTGTGGGATTCAGTTGCTGTTCCTCATTCAAGCAGAGGACTGTGATCTGTGAGTCTACCCCTAAATAAATAACCCTCTATTATACTCAATTCTGAGCTAGTGTGGGATTTCTTTTTAGCATCCATCTTCATCTGGCGCCCACATGGGTCTGAACTTCACACCTACTGAGTGCACGGGCTAAAAGGCCTAACAGATCCACAGCCCAGAATGTCTCCCACCCCCACCCACTTGGCCTGCTTTTACCTACTAAGCAGTTTCTGTAAAAACACCCACCAGAGCAGAGCTACTGCATGCGGTGACTTTGGAAATTTCCCAAGCTCTTGCACCTTCCCCCACCCACTGCTATGTTCCCTGCTGTGTGATGACTTGCACAGCATCCAGTTTGTGCTCCCTGCATGTGAGTTCTGAGCTTCTTGCTCTCTGTACAGAATTGATTAAATTGCTTTTAATTTGTCAAGCAAAGCATATTTCTCAGTATTTAAGCAGCACCAGGGTGGGAAGCGAAAGCAGTGCTGGACTGCGCCTGGCACCACCGGTTGTGCCACAAGTCACAACTCTGAAACCATGACACCTGCTGGACAACAAAGATTATTACACATAAAACAATTAACTGAACCTCATAACAGGTATTTTATTAATCAATAAATTTGAAAGTTATCTAATTGTAGACAACATTACAAGTGAGAATTTTAATAACTTTTTTGCTAATATTATGGATTATATCCTGCAAGGCTTATATGGTTATTGTGATATATCCATTTATTGGATATTGAGACTCAGCTCTAAGGCCCAGAAAATATATTCAACAAAATTATAGAAGAGAACTTTCCCAACCTAAAGAAGGATATCCCTATGAAGGTACAAGAAGCTTACAGAACACCAAATAGACTGGATCAAAAAACAAAAAGTCACCTCACCATATAATAATAAAAACACAAAACATACAGAATAAAGAATGAATATGAAGAGCTGCAAAGGAAAAAGGTAAAGTAAAATAAAAGGTAAGCCTATCAGAATTACAGCCCACTTCTCAGCGGAAATCATGAAAGCCAGAAGATCCTGGATAGATGTGATTGCAGACACTAAGAGACCACAATGCAAGCCCAGACTACTGTACCCAGCAAAGCTTTCAATCACCATCAAGGGAGAAAACAAGATATTACATGAAAAAAACAGATTTTAAACAATGCATATTCACAAATCCAGTCTTATAGAAAGTACTAGAAGGAAAACTCCAACCCAAGGAAGCTAACTGCACCCACAAAAACACAGGCAACTGATAACCCCCCAACAGCATAACCCAAAGAAGGAAAACACACAAACACTACTACTGAAAAATAACCGGAATTAACAAACACTGGTCATTAATATTGCTTAATATTAATGTACTCAATTCACCTATAAAAAGACACAGGCTAAGAGAATGGATACAAAAACAGGATCCACCCATCTGCTGTATACAAGAAACACCCCTCAACCTCAAAGACAGACACTACCTCAGAGTAAAGGGTCAAAAAAAAAGGTTTTTCAATAAAATGGACCTAAGAAACAAGTGGGTGTATCTATCCTAATACCTAACAAAATAGATTTGAAACTAAAATCAATCAGAAGAGATGAAGAAGGACATTTTATACTTAGAAGAGGAACAATCCATCAAGATGTAGTCTCACTCCTTGAACATCTATGCCCCTAATACAAGAGCATATGTGAAAGAAACATTATTAAAACTTAAATCGCACATCAAACCCCACACACTAAGAGTAGGAGACTTCAACACTCTACTCTCGCCAATGGATAGGTCAACCAGACAGAAATAAGAGAACTACCAGATGTCATGAATTAAATGGACTTAACAGACATCTATAGAACATTCCACCCAAACACAAAAGAATATACCTTCTTCTCAGCACCTCATGGAACCTTCTCTAAAATTGATCACATACTCAGTAACAAAGCAAACCTCCACAGAAACAAAAAAAAATGGATCACCATGTATTAAAGTTAGAATTTAACAATACTACTTTCAGAAAGCCTACAAACTTATGGAAATTGAACAGTGAACCACTTCTGAGTCAAGGAAGAAATAAAGAAAGAAATCAAAGACTTGCTTGAATTCAACAAAAATGAAGGCACAACATTTCCAAACATATGGGACACTATGAAAGCAGTGCTAAGAGGAAAATTCATAGCACTAAGTGTCCACATAAGGAAAATGGAGAAAGCTCACATCAATGACCTAACGGCACACCTGAAAGCTCTAAAACAAAAAGAAGCAGACTCCCCCAGGAGGAATAGAAGACAGGAAATAATCAAATTGAGGGCTGATATCAATAAAATAGAGACAAAAAACCCAAAGAATTAATAAAACAAAGAGCTGGTTCTTTAAGAAAATCAACAAGATAGACGAACCCTTATCCAAACTAATCAAAAGGCAGAGAGAGAACATCCAAATTAACAAAGTCAAAAGTGAAAAGGGGGACATAACAACATACACTGAGGAAATTCAGAGAATCATTAGGTCATACTACAAAAACCTGTACTCCACAAAATTGGAAAATGTAAAAAAAAATGGACAATTTTTTAGTTACATACCGTATACCAAAATTAAATCAAGACAGGTGAGCAATTTAAATAGGCCTATAAACTACAAGGAAATAGAATCTGTCATCAAAAACCTCTCAACCAAAAAAAGCTGAGGGCCAGATGGTTTTAATGCAGAATTCTACCATAACTTCCAAGAACAGCTAATACATATATTCCTCAAAGTATTCCACACAATAGAAACAGAAAGGACATTGCCAAACTCTTTTTATGAGGCTACAGTTACCCTGATGCCAAAACCACACAAATATTCAACAAAGAGGGCTGGAGAGATGCCTCAGCCATTAAAGGCTAGGCTCATGGTTTGTTTGGATGCTCACCTTTATAGACCTGGATGGAGTGGGGAGGGCCTTGGACTTCCCAAGGAGCAGGGAACCCTGACTGCTCTTAGGACTAGAGAGGGAGGGGGAGGTGCAGAGGGGTAGGGAAAAGGGAGGATGAGAGGAGGTGGAAATTTTTAATAAATAAATAAATAGATAGATAGATAATTAAATAGAGAAATAAATAAATAAGTAAATAAAGGCTAGGCTCACACCCAAAACTAAAAAAATATATTCAACAAAGAAAGAGAATTACAGATCAATCTCACTCATAAACATGGATGCAAAAATACTAAATAAATACTAAATACTAGCAAACCGAATCCAAAAACACATCAAAAAAAAAATCATACACCATAATCAAGTCGACTTCATCCTAGCCATGCAGGGCTGGTTCAACATATAAAAATCTATCAATATAATCCATCATATAAATAAACTTAAAGAAAAAACCATATGATCATTTAATTAGATGCTGAAAAAGCATTTGACAAAATCCAACACTCCTTCATGATAAAGGTCCTGGAAAGATCTGGGATACAGGGAACATATCTAAATATAATAAAAGCAATATACATCAAGTCAACAGCCAACATCAGATTAAATGGAGAGAAACTTAAAGTGATTCCACTAAAATCAGGAACAAGACAAGGCTGTCCAATCTCTCCGTATCTTTTCAACATAGTCCTTAAAGTTTTGGCAATAGCAATAACACAACAAAAGAAGATCAAGGGGATTTAAATCGGAAAGGAAGTAGTCAAAATTTTATTATTTGCAGATTATATGATAGTATATATAAGTGACCCCAAAATCTCTATCAGAGAACTCCTACAGCTGATAAATACTTTATGTGATGTGGTAGGGCACAAGACCAATTCAAAAAAATTGGTAGCCCTCCTATACACAAATGATAAAGAAGCTGAAAGGGAAATCAGAGAAGCATCACAATAGCCACAAATAACATAAAATATCTTGGGGAAACATTAACCAAACAAGTGAAAGACCTATTTGATGAGAACTTTAAGTCTTTGAAGAAAGAGATGGAAGAAGATACCAGAAAATGAAAAGATCCCCCATGCTCTTGGATTGGGAGGATCAACATAGCAAAAATGGCAATCCTACCAAAAGCATTCTAGAGAGTCAATGCAATCCCCGTTAAAACCCCAACACAATTCTTCACAGACCTTGAAAGAACAATAATCAACTTCGTATAGTAAAACAAACAAACAAAAAAAAGATAGTCATAACAATCAGGTACAATAAAGGAACTTCCAGAGGCATCATCATCCCTGACATTAAGCTCTATTACAGAGCTACAGTAATAAAAACAGCTTGGTATTGGCATAAAAACAGAGAGGTTGACCAATGGAATCGAATCGAAGACCCAAATATTAATACTCACTAATGAACATCTGATTTTTGACAAAGAAGCTAAAATTATATAATGGAAAAAAGAAAGTATCTTCAACAAATGGTGCTGGTATAACAGGATGTCAAAAGTAGTAATCTATATATTATAATAATCAAGGAAACACAAGTATAGGTTTATCTAAAGACTTTAGCATGCCCATGGTAGATGTTTCAAGAAGAAAAAAAAATTATGGAATCAAGTTTTAAAAATATGTAAACCCAGGATAGCCAAAACTATCCTGTACAATAAAAGAACTTCTGGAGGTATCACAATCCCCGACTTCAAACTCTACTACAGAGCTGCAGTACACAGCAGAAAAACATAACAACATCTTGAATTTTGCAGGAAAATGGATGGAGCTAGAAAACATTGTTTTGAGTAAGGTAACCCAGACACAGAAAGACAATTATCACATGTACTCACTCATAGGTAGTTTTTTAAACATAAAGCAAAGAAAACCAGCCTACAAACCACAATCCCAGAGGACTTAGAAAACAATGCGGACACTAAGAGAGACTTATATAGATCTAACCTACATGTGAAGTAGAAAAAGACAAGATCTCCTGAGTAAATTGGGAGCATGGGGACCTTGGGGGAGGGCTGAAAGGTGGAGGGGAGAGGCAGGGAGGGGAGCAGAGAAAAATGTAGAGCTCAATAAAAATTAAAAAAAATGTAAACCATCAACAAAGAAAGATGTAAAGAGCTGGATGGAAATTGTATATCTGAAAGAAACATTTTAAATACTGCATGATGTCATTGCATCCTGAAGGCAGCAGAGATATTAGTGAACACTCAAGAGGGAAAATCTGATATGAAACAGAAAAATTAAGTCTCATATAAAGATTCTAAATGTTGATAGATGAATGCAATCCCCATAAAAATTCCAAGATTCCTTATATAATAGACAAAACAATCTCAAAATTTATAAAGAAGCACAAAACACCCTGGACAGCCAAGCAATCCTGAGGGAAAAAGAATAATGTTGGAGGTGTCACCGTACCTGTCTTCACGCTACACTGTAGCGCATGCTAAAAGCACAAAAGCACATTGGTCAAAGAACACTAAAGAAAATCACAAGCATAAATCCACACAGTGGCCACCTGACTTTCCACCAAAAACACATTGCAGGGAAAGCTGGGCTCTTCAACAAACCGTACTGGGAAAACTAGGCATCAATGTGCAGAGGAATGCAGTTAGATCTATAGCCGTTCTGAATAAAAATGACTCTAAAATAGAGTCTAAATGGACACTACACCTCACTGTGAGGCCTGGAACCCTGCGATGGTCACGGGGAAAAAAAATAATAAGACATTTCAAGATCTAGGCTTAGGCAAAGGCTCCCTGCATAGGACTGCAGTTGTCTTGCTTCTGTACAACAAAGGATACAGCGGGGTGAAGAGACAGATGGAAGGAAAGGCAGGAACCCAGACAAGGTCAAATTGTCTTTTCCAAAACATATATTGTCAAAGACCAAAAAGAAACTGTGTCTACTTAGGTCCAGGTGGTATATTCCAAAGATATCTCAATTACAGATGTCAAAGACAGTAGAGACACTTTGCTTACTCGGAGCCAAAGTGAAGGATAGCTTTAACACTCCCCTCTCTTCCTTAAACCTACGCAATATGCCTTGATGAGTCCGCCTTCCAGCTTAGTTTATGAGAAAACAAAACCTATTAAAATCTTGAATAAATTTCTCTTTGTAAACACTATAACTTAGAAAGCAACAAGATCATCACACAAACACACACACACACACATACACACTCACCACAGACATTTACCCACAGGTACACAAGCACACACATGTGCCTGCACACGCACACTTAAGAAAACACTTGAGGAACTACAGAAATGACTCGGTGGTTAAAAGTGTACTGCTCTTCCCGAGAACCTAGACAACAATGAGGACCCTAAGAGAGACACACATGGATCTAATCTAAATGGGAAGTAGAAAAAGACATCCTGAGAAACTTGGGAGTAGGGGGAGAGCGAGGGTAGAAGAGGCAGCAGAAGGAAGGGGGTGCAGAGAAAAATATATAGCTCAATAAAATCAATTAAATAAAACATAAAAAGTGTACTAGTCTCGCAGAGGACTGGAGTTCAGTTCCCTGCACCCACGACCTGTGGTTTACCATCACATATAACTCCAGGAATCTGACACCATCTTCTGCCCTCTGCAGGCACTGCACTCACATACACAAGCCCACACACAGACACTTGCACATAAACATATTTCAAATTAAAAATAAAATCTTAAACACACACTTGAGATGACTCCCTGGAGATGCTCACATTCACACCATCAGATCTGCTTCATTCTTTCCGGAGCTCCTTTCTGTGCATAATAAAATTCAACTCAGCCTGGCATTGGCTCTCCTGCCCTGAAACTCTTCTTCATTGACACTAGGGATCCACACAGCCCAATCCTGCCTGACTGGAGACCTCTATAAAGGACTCCCCAGGCAACTGCTACTGAGTGTGCTGTATGCTGTGTCCCCACAGTGCCCATTGCTGACGGATCTATCCGAGAATATTGTTGGGAATGCTCATTCTAGGCACGTTAACTTTTACCTTTCAAGAGTGAATGCCGTTTTGTACACTCCAATCCTGTAAAATTCAGTTCTTTTATGATTGCATTATCTTCAAAAAGCTGAGAATATTTTTTAAACAAAGCTGTAAAACAGAATAAAAACCATTCACTTTTCTGGTAGTGCTAAGACTCAACTCTACGCTTTTACCTTCTTACCTTCCTTGTAGAAACAAAACCTATAAATGTCCAATTACCTGAGTAGTTAGAGGCTGCCTGGGAAAGATTCCCCGTCACCATAGAGTGTGGTGGCTGTGGCCCTAGCACTTGGGAATTAGAATGAGGAAGAGAAGTTTCAGGTCATCCTTAACTATACAAGTTGGTTTAGTTGATTGGTTGATTTACCTAACTAACTACTTAGTTTGGTTGGTTGGTTGGTTCGTTGGTTTAGTTAGCTCATGGCTATCCTGGGCTATATGAGACCTTACCACAATAAACGACAATTTTCCCTCACTCCACAGTCAGTGTAACCATGCTCCTAGGGATTTTTGACCACAAATATCTCCAGGAAGAGATGGAAGGGACAGATCCATGACCCTGGGGTCTCTCCAACATTTAATGGAGGGTACACTAAAGACTACATCTTAGGTGATAAATTTGATGAAATATGTGCATAGCCCAGGAAAGGGGAGGGAGAAATGAGTTAATTCAGAGCAGTTCCAGGTTTTCTGAGCATGGAAGTTAGAAAAGAGCCCGACACTGATCAAAAGGACTTTGTCTTCATCCTCATCTTTTCTTTATGCTCCCTCGACATGTCTCAGTGTCCCCACACTTCCATGGTGTTCCTAACTTAAAACTAACTCACCTAAGTGCTTGAAATTCAATTTTCTTTTTTCCCTTCCTTATCTCCCACTTGTTCCTTGAGTCCCTAGATTCTGGCTTTCACTTCTGCCAATTTACCAAACTGTTCTTGAGATAGATATCAATGGCTCCTCGTGTGCACTTATCAGTCATCTTCTCGTGGGACTTCTCACATGACCTAGCCCGCTTCTCCTCCTCCTTGACAGTTGGGAGATGCTGGCACCCTCCGGTTTGCCTGGCCCTGCTTGCTGCTGTGTCCTGTGCTCTTTCCTACCTGTTTCCTTCTACACTCACCTCTCTTACAACGGAACATTCTCCCAGTTCCATCTGTAATTCTTTCTCCTCCAAACTCATCTTCCTTAGTGATATTGCAGTTACAGGGTTGTTGGGGAGGGGTGGGAAGTAGGAGTGGTTATTTTTAGTTGTTTTTGTTGTTGTTGTTATTTGCTGATATAAGCAAAGTTATTCTAAAATGTACACCTCTTTCCTAAAACATATTAATATGGACCCAACTAAATCTTTGCAACTGAGATCAGGGGAACAGAAACAAAACTTAAATCATCATATTCCAACCCATACATGCTCCTCATCTTTTTCCTCTTCAAATAACTTCATGACTGCTGACTATGAAATCAGAACTAGAGTCACACCTCACTCCTCTACGTCCCTTAACTCTCAGCTATCAATATTGACCAAAACTTTGCTCAACATTATCTCCTCTCCTGTGCATCACCAGCAGGACCCTTGGATCAAGCCCCCAGTGCTGCTCAAATGGATTCTGAATTAGCTTCCTAATTTCTCCTTCCCTTCATTTTCACACCTCGGTAAGAGCACGCTTCTCTAAGTCAGTTTTAACGTTATCATGTTCTGCTGCAGATTCTTCAGTGGGTCTCCATGACTGTGTCACACTGCAAATCTGTACACCCTTTTCACCTTCCCGATATGAAAATCCACTTGGGCTATGCCTTCCCAGTTCCATACTCAAGGAATTGGGTATATTTCTACATCACATTGTCTGAGCTGCCTTTAAGATTTTCTTTGGCCACTAAGATACACAAAAGCAAATGTGTGTTTGCTCCATATTGACCTTGGCTTACTGCCATCATCTGTCCTGCAAGACTGAGGTTGGCATGGGAAGCTGAGTTGAACTGATGCATGACTCCATGAGGATGAGTCAGTTCACCTCGGACCATGGGAATCTCCCAAGAGAGACCAGGCTTGGTGACGCCAAGAAGGAAGAACGAAATAAATAGCTAAACTAACCTAGTAAGTTTTAAGTTGGCAAAGGGTTCATCCACAGCCACTAAATAAAATACCATTTAGAGGGGATATCCGTGAAACATGGTATATACGACTCTATGATCTGAGTCCAGTATGTCTGTCCCTACAGATTTGTGCTCAGTTCTCCATGCAGCACTGCACGGTACAGGAATGCACACCTATATTTGCCCGTATTTCCCATGCTCCCCCATGTCTCTGGCATGACTGGCACACACAGGTCTAGATGTCATCTGCTCCAAGCTTTCCTTAGCCTCCTGTGCCCAGTTCTCACCTGCACAGCATTTCCCATGCGAGCTTTTAAGAGCTGCTTCACTTGACTGTTCTCTACATTTCCTGAGACGGGGGCTGCAGCTCTGTCTGGACTCTGACATGCTGCCCAGTATATAGTATATGGATAGTACTAATTATTGAATGAATGAATATAACACCTACATAAAAATATAGTTTATGATTTTTAATTTTTATGAATTTGAAAGGCAATCTGCTGAGAAATTCACTATTTTTCTAAATTAGCTTTCAGGTCTCACACAGTCTGGAAAAAAATGAATGTTTAGAAGGAAATCCCCTGGAGCTCTGTCCCTGGAGTAGCTCTGTCATCTCTTCTCATCACCCTGATCAATCCACAATGTAAGCATCTATGCATCTGATGGGGCTGGCTTCTCGGTGTTGCTGAGAAAACAGGCTTATGCTCAGTACTGGAATCTAACACTGATGCCCTGGGATTTTACTCTATGACACCAAAACACACACTTGCTTTTCTACTAAGAAGGAATGACTTTTGCAGAAGAATTATTCTGAAACAAAGAAATTCCCAATGTCATCCATCTCCCCAGGGGGTTCCTGTCTCAGGTTTCTGGGTGTTCTTCTGTCTAATGGGTCTCCTTCCTTCTCGTTGCTACTTGTACCACAGGTGTACTTACTGAGCAGAGCAATGGAGAGTATGATTTTCGACAGCAGAAAAAATATTATGAACGCGGTGAGGATGATCTTGGCAAATCTATAGCTACCTTTAAGAGACATGATCTTGTTTTGAGGAGCTGAAACACAAACCAAATTCGTGTCCTGAGTTCTGTATCTATTTCATCTTCTTCTGTTTTTATGCAGGATAAACACAAATACACAATGTTTGAATAATAGGAAAATGCAAATAGAAAATAGTCATGATAATTTTAAAAATATTACAATGCTTACAAAATCACTCATTCCTGACATTGAGAATGATTGTGGTCAGTATTTTGATATGTATCTTTCCAAAAAGTTTAAAGCTTTTATATATAAATCTATGGTCTACACAATTGGAGCATTTTAAATACTGATTTGTGACTATCATTTCCTTTGACATTATATCATCACATTTTTCTGTTATGATTTCTTTGTTTTGTTTTAGAGACAGGGTCGTGGTACATACCCCAGGCCTCCTTGAACTCATTATGTAGCCCAAGCTGGTCACAATCTCATGGCAACCCCTGTCTCAGCCTCCTGAGTTTGTGATCACGGACTTGCTATAACACATCTGAATGAACATTTTCAATATCATCATGTCTGCTTCACTACTTTCATAGAGATTGCATGGTTTTGCATTATATACTTTTAAAGTCTTCCAGCTTGCTTCATACTTCAAAGTGTGCGAAAGCCAAGAAGTCTTGATGTCCCTCACATTTTATGACAAAGTCAGCATCTTTTTGGTCACTATTTCTAAAAGAGTTGCAATACTTTCCAAGCATGTGAGGTCCTGGGCTCTGTCCCCATCACTCGAGGGAGACGAGTGAAAGAAGCTGCCCAGGACTTAGATGCCCACAGACTGACATGCTACCAACAGAGGGAAATCAGTAGACCGTGCATCAACTGTTGAAGCAACTTGTTACACACATTTATGTGTATTTATATGTGGAAAAGATAGGATAACATGGGTGATGTGATTTTCTCTAGATGGTAAAAACCAACACCTTCTCTTTTCCATTGTACAATCCCACAACCTTTCACATCTGTCTACAGGCAGCACACTTGGTTGTGTCTTCAGTGACCCAGAGGCATGGCCAGAAACTAAGATCATCCGTCTTTGTCCTTTACTTTATTTCTAACTAGGAATAGCAGAAAATGCCTTCTTACCTGGAGGAGAGTCTGCATTGATATCTGAGGAATCGAACTTATTTTTGAGGTTCATGTTAATATAAATGTTTTCTGAAAATCTTTTCCTGTCCTCAGAAGATGAGTGTCCCCTTTCTGTAAAATAGGTTCTGAACAAGAAACAAAGGCAGCAGCAAATTATTCCGATTCCAGCTAGGGTTGAGGGGCAGTAACAGAAACTGCCCTGAGTGTGCAGCAAGATGTCCAGCAAGACCTGCAAAGGGAGAATCGCAGGTGCAGAGTGCACCCAGGACCATCGTACAATCATAACGATACCAGTTTGGGGCGGGGGGAACAGGAAGGAATGGAAAAGAGGAACCAGGCCATTGGAGAAGTCAAGCTCCTCATGGAGTTGAGGTTCTGACACTCGGTCTGAGCTAACTTCCACAGTAAAGTCTCCATGTCCCATCTTGTGCTTAGTTTCCTACTCCTGATTCCTGAAGAGCTGCCACTTGGCCTCCCTGGGGCTTTAACACCACACTCAAGCCGGCCCCATGGACAGAAACATTCTTCAACCCAAAGGGACCTTGAATGCACCCTAGACTGTCCCACCTCATGGGGACAGTGTCTTCACCCTGCTCAGTCTCTGGAACCCACAACAGCTCTGTATAATGCAGAGCTTCCTTTCCCCTGCCTGGGCTGTGACAGCCCAGTTCCTCCACACCCAACAAGGATTTCCTCTTTCTCCTAAAAGTCACTGAGTTCCACTTTGTGTTTTCCACTCCCACACTCTGTACCTTGCCTGGTTCCTCTATAAGAAAGGTCCCCTCGGCTTGCTGAGTACCCAGATCCAAGCCTGACTTGGAACTAACACAGTGCACGGGGTCCATTCTCACCTATTCCAAGTGCTGATGTATAGTGGTACAGTATTTGTGTTTTAACAAATAACGCTTGCCTGAAGATCAGAGTGCAAAGCAGCCTTCCTAGTTAGCCATAGAGGCCAGGCAGTGGTGGTACAAACCTTTAATCCCAGGACTCAAGGCCACCCTGGGCTGCACGAGGGGGAATCACTCTAAAAGAGAAACAGAGCTCACACCTTTGATCCCAGCATTTGGGAGGACACGCCTTTAATTCCAGCACTAGAGAGAACGATAAGGCAGGAGTTCAGTGCAGGCTCAGGCTCTTCTGAGGATTCCTGGAGGCAGGATCGCACATTTCGTTCTGATCTTCAGCTTTAACCCCAGTATCTGTCTCTGAGTTTTTCTTATTTGTGCTATACTGATGGGTCACACCAGGCTGTCCTGGAGGACCCTCTGCTGACTCATTTAGGGTTCTGATTTCTGGTGAGAAGTGACCTCAGGCATGGATGACTTCTCACTCTGCTTGAGCTCAGACTCTCTGAACCTGCCCGCTCTCAGACATGGCTGCCCTCCCACCTCTCAGACTCTGAGGTCTCACATCAGGCTGCTGCTTGTGGACTCACTCTCTGGTCAAGACACACGCCCCCTCACTGCTCCAATTCTGCCGTCAAGCCAGTCCTCTGCACAAGGGAAATCACTGCTTCCCCACACCTTACCCTACTCTGGACACCTACCCTGTTTTGCCCTGTGTAACACTTTACTCAAAATTGAATTGTTTAGTAAGGAAAAGGAAAATAGTATTTTTTAAATCCTTCTCATTTTAATTGTTTGGATAGAATTGTGGTATACCTTTTCCCCACTCCCTTTCCCTCCTTTTCTCTCCCCTTCCACTTTTCCCCCTGCCTTCCATGCTCCTAATTTACTTAGTAGATCTTGTCTTTTCTCCCCTTCCTAGGCAGATCCTAGTATGTTTCTCTTAAGAGTCCTCTTTGTTACTGAGGTTCTCTGGGGAGGTGGCATGTAGGCGATTTATCTTTTGTTTTGTGTCTAATATCTGCTTATGAGTGAGTGCATATGGTATTTATCTTTCTGGGCCTGGGTTACCTCACTCAGGATGGCTTTTCCTTGTTCTGTCCGTTTGCCTGCAAATTTGAAGATGTCATTGTTTTTCTACCACTGAGTAGTACTCCATTGTGTAAATGTAGCACCTTTTCTTTATCCATTCTTCAGATGAGGGGCATCTAGGGTATTTCCAGGTTCTGGTTATTACGACTAATGCTACTATGAAAATAGTTGAGCAAATGTCCTTGTAGTGTTAGTGTTTTTCCTTAGGGCATATGCCAGAAGTGATATTGCTGGGTCTTGAGGTAGACTGATATCTGACTTTCAGAGAAATCACTTTGCTGATTTTCAAGTGACTGCACAACTCTGCACTCCCATCAGCAATGGAGAAGTGTTCTCTTTACACATAAGTAGTCATCAGCATTTTTGATCTTGGCCATTCTGTCAGGGGTAAGATAGTATCTCAGACTTGTTTTGATTTCCATTTCTCTGATGGCTTTTCCTTACATGTCTTTCAGCCTTTTGAGATTCCTCTGTTGAAAGTTCTCTGTTTAGATCTGTACCCAATTTTTTATTGGATAATTTGATCTTTTGAAGTCTAGTTTTATGAGTTCTTTGTATATTTTAGAGATCAGTCATCTGTCAGATGTGGGGCTGTTAAAGATTTTTTCCCATTCTGTAGGCTGTCGTTTTATCTTGTTGGCTGTGTCCTTTGCTTTACAGAAGCCTCTCAGTTTCAGGAGGTCCCATTTATTAACTGTTGCTCTCAGTGTCTGTGCTACTGGGGTTATATTTAGGAAGTGTCCTGTGACCACGTGTTAAAGGGTACTTCCCACGTTCTCTTCTTTGAGGTTCAGTGTGGTTGGTTTTATGTTGAGGTCTTGGAGCCATTTGGACTTGAATTTTATACATGAGAATAGATACAGACCTGTTTGCATTCTTCTACATGTCAACATCCAGTTATCCCAGCATTGTTTGATGAAGATGCTTTCTTTTTCCCACCGTATATGTTTAGCTTCTTTGTCAAAAATCAGGTGTCCATAAGTGTGTGGATTAACATCCTGATCTTCAATTCTATTCCATTAGTCCACCTGTCTGTTTTATGCCAATACCAAGCTGTTTTAATTACTTTAGCTCTATAGTAGAGTTTGAAGTCAGGCTCCAGAAGTTCCTTTATTATTCAGGGTTATTTTGACTATCCTGGGTTTTTGTATTTCCATATGAAGCTGAGTATTGTTCTTTTTTAAGATCTGTGAAGAATTGTGCTAGGATTTTGATGAGAATTACATTGAATCTTTAGATTGCTTTTGGTAAGATTTCCATTTTTACTATGTTAATTCAACCTACCCAAAAGCATTGGAGATCTTCTCATCTTGTGATGTCTTCTTCAATTTCTTTCTTCAAAGACTTAAATAAAGTTCTTGTCATACATGTTTTTCATTTGTCCAATTAGAGCTATGCCAAGATATTTTATGTTATTTGTGGCTAAAAAAAAAATGCCAAGTGGTGGCACACGCCTTTAATCCCAGCATTTGGGAGGCAGAGACAGGCAGATCTTGGTGAGTTCAAGGCCAGCCTGGTCTCCAAAGAGAGTTCCAGGACAGCCAGAATTGTTTCACAGAAAACTCTCTCAAAAAATAAAAAAGAATGCTCTTTAGAGGCTGGAGAAATGTCTCAGTGGTTGAGAGTGCTGTAAATGATGATATTTCTCTGATTTCATTGCAGCCCATTTATCATCTGTATATAGGCAGGCTACTGATTTCTTTAAATTAGTCTTGTATCTAGCTACATTACTGAAGATGTTTATCAACTGTAGGAGTTTCCTGGTATAATTTTGGGGTTATTTATATATAATATCATATAATCAGTAAGTGGCAAAAGTTTGACTTCTTCTTTTCCAATTTTTATCCCCTTCATCTCCTTTTGTTATCTTTTTGCTCTAGAATCTCAAGTACTATATTGAATAGATATGGAGGTAGTGGGCAGCCTTGTCTTGTTGCTGATTTCAGTGGGATCACTGTGAGTTTCCCTCCATTTAGTTTAATGTTGGCTGTTGGCTTGCTGTATGTTGTCTTTATTATGTTTAGATGTATTCCTTGTATCTCCAAGATCTTTATCATGAAGGGGTGTTGAATTTTATCAAAGGCTTTTTCAACATCTAGTGAGATGATCATGTGGTTTTCTTCTTTCAGTTTGTTTATATTATAGATTACATTGATGGAATTTCATACAGTGAACTATCCCTGCATTTCTGGGATGAAGTCTACTAGGTCATGGTGGATGATTTTTCTAATGCATTTTAGGATTTGGTTTGCAATATTTTTTGAGTCTATAATTTATTTCTTTATTTCTTTCTTGACCAAGAAGTGGTTCAGTTGAGCACTGTTCAATTTCAATAAGTTTGTAGGCTTTCTGCAATTAGTGTTACTGCTAAATTCTAATTTTGAACCATGGTGATCCAATAAGATGCAGGGGAGTGTTCCAATTTTTTCAGTATCTGTTGAGGTTTGCTTTGTTACTGAGTATGTGGTTAATTTTTGAGGAGGTTTCATGGGGTGTTGAGAAAGGAATATGACATAGGTGGGCCTTCTGTTATGTGTTATTTTCATTGGTTAATAAAGAGACTGCCTTGGCCCTTTGATAGGACAGAAAATTAGGCGGGTGAGTAAATAGAACAGAATGCTGGGAAGAGGGCAATGAGGCAGACGCCATGGAGCCAGCCACCAGGTCAGACATGCTGAATCTTTCCCGGTAAGCCACTACCTCGTGGTGCTACACAGATTATTAGAAATGGGTTAACCAAGATGTGAGAGTTAGCCAGTAACTAACTCCCTAGAGATAATGGGTCAGGCAGTGTTTAAATGAATACAATTTGTGTGTTGTTATTTCTGGGGCTAAGCTAGCCATGCGGGAGCCGGGCAGGACGAAAAGCAGGCCTGCCCACAGCTCCTCAGTACAGGAATATTCTTTTGTGTTTAGGTTAAATGTTCCATAGATGTCTGTTAGGCACATTTGAGGCTTAACATCTGTTAGTTTCTTTATTTCTCTATTAAGTTTCTGTCTGTCAGTGGTAAGAGTGAGGTATTGAAGTCTACGACTATTAGTGTGTTGGGTGTGGTGTGTGATTTAAGCTTTAGCAAGATTTCTTTTACAATTGGGGAATCCCTTGTTTTGGGAAAGCCCTTGTATTGGGGGCATAAATGTTCAGAATTGAGACTTCATCTTGATGAACTTTTCCTATGACAAATATGAAATGATCTTCTTCATCTCTTTTGACTAATTTTAGTTTGAAGTCTACTTTGTTACATATTAGGATAGCTACACCAGCTTGTTTCTTGGGTTCGTCTGATTGGAAAATCTTTTCCCAACCCTATACTCTGAGGTAAGGTCTTTGTAGTTGAGGTATGTTTCTTGTATCCAGCAGAAGGATGGATTCTGTTTTTGCATCCAATCTGTTAGCCTGTGTCTTTTTATAGGCGAATTAGTCCACTGATATAAAAGGATATTAATGACCAGTGAGTACTAGTTCCTGTTTGTTTGATTTTTGTTGTTGGTAGTGGTATTGTGTGTGTTTCTCTTTTTAGGGTTTTGCTGGTGCAGGATTATCTATTCCCTATGTTTTTCATGGATGTAGCTAACTTCCTTGA